TGACATCAGACAGGGGCTGGCCAGACCCTGCTCCCCCAGTCTCAGCGAAGGAATCGGGATTGCCCTCCAGAGTAATGCGGGGTGTGGGGGGAGAAGAGTGGGGGGGAGGTGCAAGGAGAAGCCAGTCCTGTCTGATGGCTCTGTTATCCCCTGGAGGAGAAGCTGACAGCACTCTTGCTCCCCCCATCCCTTCCCTTTCCGGTTGTCCCAGGTCACACACTCGGGCCGGCGACCCCACCTTCCAGCCTGGGCGCACCCTCACTGCCAGTTCCTGCTCGCTCTGTGGTGCACTCCCACAGGTGCCCGCTAGAGGTTGCACTTCCCACCTCCGTGTCGGCGTTTGGTTTTCCTTTGCGGTTCTCACCGACACACACACACACACACACACACACACACACACACACACACACACACACACGTTGGTTTTTGGGGACCACACACGGCGGCGCTCAGGTCTTACTCCTGGCTCTATGCTCAGGGATCACTCCTGGCAGTGTTCGAGGGATCCTATGGGGTGCTGGGGATGGAACCCACATCGGCCATGTGCACAGCAGTGCCTCACTCCCTGTACTGCAGCCCAGGCCCTCACTGACCTGTTTGGTTGTGGAGCCCACCTGCAGGGACTCAGTGGACACTGCAGGCAGTAGAAGTGTGGGTACCCGCAGAGCATGACAGCAGTTAGCATGAGGGGGGATCTGCAGTGCTGGGCGTGGACAAGGGAACTGAGTAGTTGGGATCATGTTCCAACAGTGACAACAGTCCCCAAGTGACATCCTTCAGGGGCGCATTAGCCTCCTGGGAGTGAGGGTAGAGAAGACCGACATTGGGGTCCTATGGAGATGGGCTGGGAAGACCAGATGGAGGAGGAGAGGCATCTAGTGGTGGCGTGGGACCCTGGATTGGGGCGGAGGGGAGAGGCAGGAACGATGGGGTACAGCGGCTGAGTAATCCAGGGCAGAGGACCCAGTGACAGGCTCCTGCGGCACTGACCCCAGGAGGGCGTGGAGGGGACGAGATGAAGACAGTGAGTCATGGGCATGCATGAGGGAGCACCCACCACCATCAGCACCCACTGATGACCCTCCTCCATCCTCTCTCCACACCCCCCACCCTTGCTTACTCAGAAGTCCCTCCCACTGTGTTGGCCTATCCCACTTCCTGCCAACACCCACTCTTTCTCCTCCATCCACACCCTGACTCCATTTCCTTGGGGCTGCCCCCTCTCTTATCACTTTCCTCCCCTCCTGGTTCTTTTCCCCCACCCTCCCTCCTCAGTCTGCTTGTCTCATCACAACTTTATTTCTCCTGCCTGCTGTGCTCTCCAGAAGCAGTGTGGCGTGGAGGGGTGTTGAAGTCTAACTCCGAGGGGCCATAAAGGTCGTACAGCATGTAGGGCACTTGCCGTGCATACCACAGACACTGGTTTGGCACCTGCTATCCCATATGGTCGCCTGGAGTGATCCCTGAGTGCAGAGTCGGGAGTAGCTCCTGAGCATTGCTGGTGTGCCTCCACCTCCCCCGCCCCCTCCCCCCTTTAAAAATAAGCCAGGACTGGAGCGATAGTACAGCAGGTAGGGCATTTGCCTTGCATGCAGCCAACCTGAGTTCGATTCCCAGCATCCCATATGGTCCCCCGAGCACCGCCAGGAGTAATTCCTGAGTGCAGAGCCAGGAGTAACCCCTGAGCATCGCCGGGTGTGACCCAAAAGGCAAATAAATAAATAAATAAAGCCTAATTCTGAGTTCAAATCCTACCTTTTCTACCTCTCCATGTTGCCTGATTTTCCCTTGCCTGGTAAAGTGGGCTTATAATAATAAATCCAACCTGCAAGGGTTTTGAGAGGATTTATCACAAGAGCATAAAGTACTTGGGGCAACGTCTGCTCGGTGGACTGACTCTTATTCTGACCCTCTCATCTCCTCTCCCCTCACCTCCTGACCTTCCTCTGTACTTTCATCTCCTCCATTATCCCTCTGTCCCGACTTTGTATCTCTTCAAAGCACAGAGATGAATCAGACTAGCAGCGAAACAAGCAGGAAAATAAATGGCAGGCGGATATCATAAATGCTACTTCAAAGATGTGAAAGAAAGGCTATCAGAGAACAAAGGATATGCAAACCAGTCAAGCAAAGTCTAGGGTCAGAGACCCTCTCAGCTGGATCTTAAGGAAGAAGTTTCCAGGGAGGGCGGAGAAGAAACATTCATGCAGAGAAAAGATGTTCCCATGTGGCCGGTCCTGCTGCAAGCAGGTGTGAAGGGGACGAATCCGCAGCCCCCTGGGTATGCCCTGCCCTGTCTCAATATAGCCACAAGGAGGCAGCAAAGCACCAGGAGCGGCTGCAGACTGCAGCATGAACCGGCCCCAGGAGAGTCACCCAGGCCTTGAAACAGTCCAGCTGATTCAGGGACCTCTGGCCCTCCCAACTGAACCCATCCAGACGGTAAGTAAAGGAAATGCAGACAGGTGAACGTGGTGGGGTATGGTAGAGTATATGAGTGATATATGTATGAGGGCCTGGGTCATTGCGTAGCACCACACACACACACACACACACCTCAAAAGAGTGTGGGGGAGGGGGGAGGGGCGAGAACAGCGGCTGGAGCAATAGCATACATAGTAGCATAGTAGATAGAATGTTTGCCTTGCCCACGGCCAACCAGGGTTCAATTCCCAGCATCCCATATCAGCATCCCATATGAGCAGCACCAGGGGTAATTCCTGAGTGCAGAGCAAGGAGTGACCCCTGTGCATTGCGGGGTGTGAAGAGTGCAGCCAGAGATAACACAGTGGGTAGGCTGCTTACCTTGTATGTTGGGGACCCTGGTTCTATCCCCAACATCCCATAATCCCATATGGGCTGCTGAGCTCTGCCAGGTGTAACCCTTGAGTACAGAGCTAGAAGTAACCCCTGAATACACCAGGTGTGGTTCAAAAAGACAAACAAGAAAAAAATCAAAACGCAGAGACTCAGAGCAACAGTCCCAGCCTGGAGAGATAATACAGGGGTAAAGGCACTTGGCTTGCCTGCCGCTGACCCAAAGTATTGGATCCTTCCCACTGCCAGGAGTGACCCTTGAGCACAGAGCCAGAAGCAAGCCCTGAGCACAGCTGGGTGTGTCCCCACACCCCTCCCCCAGTAAAAACAAACACACAGACAAAAAGGACATTGATGAGAACAGAATCTTTGTCAGGTGAGCGCCAGTGCCTGAACTGTAGGTGTTCTTCATTGGAGGGAGTTTGACTAGTCCGACTTGGGCCTCAACAGCATGCAAGGGCTGCTCGGAACAGCCCTGCGGGAGGTACAATCACCCCACTCTGCAAACAGGACCCAGAGCACTGGGCCAGGGGCGCAACTGGAACATGGCCAAGCTGCTTGGACTCCAGAGTCCGGCTGCCTCCCCTGTCATTGGTGGCTCTGGGCGGATCCTGGCGACACGTGCACTCCCCGGCTAGCAGGCAGGACCATAGCAGCAGGGCCTGACTCGCTCCTGCCTGCTCCCAGCCTCCTGGACACTGCCCGAAGGGCAGGGTCTGTTCCTTCATCCCCCGTGGCAGCTGCAGCTGCCAGGAGACAAGGAGGTAGCTTGCTTCATTTGTTTCTTTGTTTGTTTGTTTCTTTTTTTTTTTTCTTGATGGTGGGAAAGAACTTCTTGAAGGGGCTGGGGATGAGGAGCTCTGAGCCCACAGTTAGAGATACTGTTCCCTGAGGGGCTGGGTTGGGAGCCCCTCCCCCTCTGCAGAGGTGGACTTGGGGTGAGGCCTGAACAGGGAAGAGAGGAATCTTACAGGCAAACTAGGAAGGAGGTGAGAGAGAGAGAGAGACAGAGAGAGAGAGAGAGAGAGAGAGAGTGTGTGTACGTGTATGCTTGTGTGCTCTTGGGCATAGGATGTGAAAGCAGGAGGTGAGGAAAGTAAACAAAGTGAGTGTGAGAGCTGGGTGAGCACACTTGGGACTCTCCTTTGTAGAGAATCTTCAGTTTGGGATTTTTCTGCTTGTTTTGTGGAGGGTCATACTTGGCAGTGCTCTTCCCAACTTAAAACTCAGGGTCACTCCTGGCAGGACCAGGGGGTGGATCTAGGCCTCCAGTGTGCAAAGCCTGTGCTCAGATCCTTGAACTGTCTCTGGCCTGTGCAAGTTCATTGTAAGAACTGACTTTGCAAGGGCCAGAGAGGTAGCACAGGGATCAGGGCCCAGCATGCGGCCAACTCTGGGAATCACGCACAGCCCTCCTCTTGGTGTCCAGCTCACGGACAGGAGAGACCCCAAAACGCCTTCCTGTGGGGTCCACCCAGCTCTGACAGAGGAGCAAAATGTGGAACCTGGTGCGCCCCCTCCCCCCATCATATTAACATTCCAGTTCTGGGATCATTCCAAGGGTGTCACTAACTCAGAGGACACTAACCAAAGACAAGCTCTCCCCTCCCCCACCCCTACCCTGCTGCCCCACCTGCTCCCTTCACCACACCCCCTGCAGATCCCAGATGCCCATCTCTGAGGCTCTGCTTCATGGCTCTAAGCAACAGGGATGGGAGATGGAAGAGGGCTGGGAGAACAGCTCCGTGAGCCCAGCAGAGAGCTTCCTGGTTGTGGATATTTTCCTCCATGTACCTTATGGCAGGGGGAGGATGGGAAAGGGATGGGGGTATACTGGGGACACTGGTGGTGGAGAATGTGCACTGGTGGAAGGACGGACGGGCGCTCCATCATTGCATGACTGAAACTCAAACATGAAAACTTTGTAATTCATGGTGATTCAATAATAAAAAAAAAAGACTTCCTGTTTGCAGAGGTGTGTTGGGCCCTGGGGGTGTACCCCCCACTGTGGACCCTGGGTGGTTCCCATCCCAGCTGTAGGTTTTGTCAACAACACTCAGACTGTGAACAATTCAGGTGCAGGGGGTGGTGGAGGGGCCGTGTGGGAGTGTCAGGAAAGGTCAGGCGGGGGAGAAGAGGTGGCTCAGGGCCCTGGGGGGCTGCAGACACGGCAGTAGGGGGAGATGCTGCTGCTCCCGCTGCTGCTACTCGGGGCGGCCGCAGGCCCCTGTCTCCACCGCGAGGCTCAGGAGTCTGTGCGCCTGCTCAGAGCCCCTTTCCCCAGCCGGCCCCGGGTTGCCCGCTCGGCCTCCCTTACATCTTCTGGGCCCCGGGCCCTGCACCCCCTCCGCATCCACACCTGCTACCTTGGGGATCCAGCTTTCGACAGAGCAGGGGGACCCCAGGCCAGGGGACCAGCCCGGGCCCTGGCCGCAGTGAGAGAGGCCGCCCAGCAACTCCAGGGGGTCCTGGCAGGTGAGTGGGGTGGTTGCATGGGTCAGAGGAGCAGGCAGGGTTGGGGGAGGGGCCAGGCACCCTGAAACTGAAGGGGGTGCTCGCCTCTGGTCCTGCCAAGTGTCTCCAGTGCCAGGCCCTCTGCTCCTGAGCCGGGACCCCGCACAGTACTGCCGCGCGGTCTGGGGAGACCCTGAGACCCCCAACTTCCACCGGTGAGTGCATGTCAGTGGCGGGGTGGGCTGCTGCTTCCGGGGAACCCAGGAAGGGCTTGGGCTCTTGCCCACAGTCAGTTCTCTGCAGGTGCAGCCTCTTGAACCCAACGTACAAGGGAGAAAGTTGTCTGGGGGCAAAGGTGAGAGGATGATCTGGAGCTCCACAGCCTGCACGCCCCCCCACTGAACCCCACGCCCACAGCTGCTGCCTGGCCCAGAGCCCCTGGCCCCACCAAACCCTGGCAGCTGGAAGATGCGGGAGGCACCACCCCAGGACTCCCATGTCCATCCTCTCAGAGGACACTAACCAAAGACAGCATTTATCCCCTGTCCCTACCTTGCTGTCCCACCCCCCTCGCTAACAGGCCTCCCCCACCCCCTGCAGATCCCGGATGCCCATCTCAGAGGCTTTGCCTTGTGGCCGGAGGAGGGTCCCCCACAGCTGGCTCAGCCAGACGGGCCTGGGATCCCAGACACTGATTTTCTCTTGTATGTGCGGGTTGCCTACACTTTTAAGTGCCACCAAGAGGTGAGGTTCCAGTCAACTCCCCCCCCACCCCCCCCACAACCACCACTCTAGCTCCTTCATTCCCAGCAGGGAGAGGTAGCACGTTTGCAAGTTTTACTCAGTTGTGCTTCCCTGGGCAGGCAGGGTGGGGCTGGGGGTGCTAGGGCAAATTGAAAATGAAAATACAAACAAAACCCCAACCACTAGACCATTCCTTGCTACCGTCACCTCCATTTTTTTTTTCTTTTTGGGTCACACCCGGCTATGCTTAGGGGTTACTCCTGGCTTGTGCACTCAGGACTATTACTCCTAGCAGTGCTCAGGGGACCATATGGGATGCTGGGAATCAACCCAGGTTGGCCGCGTGCAAGGCAGAAACCCTACCTGCTGTGCTATCACTCCAACCCCCCAGCCCCTCCATTTTCAGGAAGGATTCTTTGTTTGGGTTTTGTTTGTTTTGTTTTTGGGCCACAGCCCTCCTGCTCAGGCTTCCTCCTGGCTCTCCGGAATCACTCCTGGTAAGCTCAGGGGGTCCTCCGGGGTGCCAGGCAAACGCCCTCCCTGCTGTATGATGATTCCGACCCCTTGTTTGTATCGTTTGGCTTTTATTTTTGGAATTTTCAGGAAGATTTCTGCTTCGTTCCTACACTTCCCACTTATCCCCTCCCTTGTCTGTCCTGGCCACAGCCTTCGGTCATTGCCTATGCTGCCTGCTGCCAGCTGGACCCCGACGACAGGCCCCTGGCCGGCACCATTGTCTTCTGCGCCCCACATCTCACCAGCGCCCGCCTCAGTCACAGGGACATCGTCACGGTGACTCTGCATGATGAACAGCAACTGGTGGGGGTGGGAGGCGGAGTAGAGCCCCTCCCTGTGCCCCCAGCGGGGAGGCACCTGCTTAGGAGGGGCCAGAGCGAAGGGCAGGGACCCCTGTGGGGCTGCTCACCCCGCCTGCTGTGTCTTCAGGCCACGTTGCACGAGTTGCTCCATGCCCTGGGCTTCTCTGGACGGCTCTTCAAGAAGTGGCGGGATTGCCCATCAGGGCCTAGCGGTAAAAGAGGAGCGAGGGAGAGAGAGGCGTCCCCACCCTCCCCCAGCCCACCGCGTCCACTAGAGGGAATGGCTACTGTCGTGGAAACCCCTTCTTTCCAGTGAAGCTGCTGCCAACTTTCCGTTCTCAGCTAGAGAGAACTGTTCCACCAGGCGTCAGGTGACAAGGCGAGACAAGTGGGGCCAGCTGCTTCTCACCACCCCGAAGGCCAGCCACACCCTGGCCAGGCACCTGGGAGTGCGGGAGCTTCCCCTGGGCGTCCCCTTGGAAGATGAGGTGAGGACACGAGGAGGCGATGGAGTGATGGAGAGAAGATGGAGCCAGGGCAGGGGTGGGGCGGAGTGGGGGATGGCTCAGTCTTAGGCATGATCATTTGCCTTGCATGTGTGAGTCCTGGGTCTTGTGACCAACACCCCCACCCCCAGCACACACACCTGCGTGCACACACACGCACGCGCACACACGCACGCACACACACATGCATACACACGTGTACATGTCTGGGTGGCACTCAGCTGTCTCCTTCCCCGACAGGGCCCCCTGTCTTCACACTGGGAGGCCCGGCTTCTTCAGGGTTCTATCATGACTGCTACCTTCGACGGAGCCCACAGAACTCGACTTGATCCCATCACTCTCGCCGCCTTCCAAGACTCCGGCTGGTACCAAGTCAACCACAGCGCTGCAGAAGAGCTACTGTGGGGCCAGGGTGAGACCCAGAGTGGCAGAGGGGCGCACTTCACCCCAGGTGGCTCAGAGGCATGCTCCAAGGCTGGAGAGAGAGCATAGCCGGCACCCAGGAGCATGGTCAAGAAAAACTCCTGAGCACTGAGCCAGGAGCACCAATATGTGTGGCCTGAAACCACACCCCCAACCCCACTGGCCAAAAGGAAGAAGGGATTATACATGACTGAGGTGTCCTGGGCACTGTCAGTCTAGTTGGCATCAAGGGGGGTTGGGCTTTGTTGCCTTTTTTTTTCTTTTCGGTTTTGGGGCCACACTGGCAATGCTCAGAGGTTACTCCCGGTGCTGCACTCAGGAATTTCTCTTGGAGGTTCTTGGGGAACCATATGAGATGCCAGGGATCGAACCTGGGTCGGCCGCATGTTAGGCAAACGCTCTCCCCCTGGTACTGTCCTTACGGCCCAAGGGGCTTTGTCGCTTCTGATGCTCCATCTCCTCCTCTCTCTCGAACAGGCGCTGGCCTGGAATTCGGCCTGGTGACCACCTGTGGGACAGGCCCCTCAAACTACTTCTGCACTGGCAGGTGAGTGTGCTGAGTGGTGGCAGGGCTGGATGGTCCTCCAGGACGACCCTAACGTCACTCTTATCCTCTCCACCCAGTGGGCTGGGCTGCCACTACCTGCACCTGGACAAGGGCCGCTGCTCCTCGGACCCCCTGCTGGAAGGTTGCCGAATGTACAAGCCCTTGGCCAGTGGGGTGGGTGGATTCCCAGAGGGGTGGCTGCAGGGGAAGGGAGGGGCCTGTCGGTGTCTATCAGCTTCTCCCCACCTGCTAGAATCTCCTTGACCTTCTCCCCTGCCCTCCAGAGCGAGTGCTGGAAAAGAGAGAATGGATTCCCAGCTGGGGCCCAGAATCCCCATGGGGAGATCCACCACTGGCAGAGCCGCTGCTTCCTTGCCAATGTCACTTCACAACGGCTCCCTGAGGACAAGGCCGGTGGCCCAAAGGAAGCCCCGCCCACAGGCCGCTGCTACTTACATCAGTGCAAGGAGCATGGAGCATACGACGTGCAGGTGGCAGGAGCCCCTTGGACCCCCTGCCTTCCAGGACAGGTGATCCAGGTGGGTACAGGTACCTAAGAGGAAGAGCTGTGCCCTGTGGCACAGAGGTTTGGCAAAGCTTCCGCAGTGCAACTGCCTATTCTGATGCTCTCTAAATCCATGACAGGAACTAACTCAGAACAGGTTTCTTAAACCTTTCAACTCATCATCCCGAGAAAGTTTAATGCAGCCCAGTTATATAGGTATATAAAAAAGGAATCCGAATCACAAGTTATAATAAATCACAAACTTCCTTCAAAACCAATTTTTGTTTTGTTTTGGGTCGCACCTGGCAGTGCTCAGGGCTTACTCCTAGTTCTGTGTTCAGGGATCACTCCTGGTGGGTTCAGGGGGCCATATGCGGTGCTAGGGATCCTGTCAGGGCTAGCAGCGTACAAGACAATGCTTACTATTTCTCTGATTTTCCAAAACAATTTTTTTCCCTAAGTTTTTGGGCCACACCCAGCAGTGTTTAGAAATCACTTCTGGCAGTTCTTGGGGGTACTGTATGGGATGCTGGGGATTGAACCCGGGTTGGCCATGTGCAAGGTAAGTGCCCTACCCACTGTACTATCTCTCCGTCTCCTTCAAAACAAATTTCTAAGATTTTTCTTGGAGCTGGGGCGATAGTACAGCAGGTGCTTACCTTGCTCACTTACCTTGCTCAAAGCCAACTCAGATTTGATTCCTGGCATCCTATATGGTCCCTCAGGCACCATCAGGAGTGATCCCTGTGCAGAGCCAGGAGTGAATCTGGAGCACTGCTGGGTGTGACCCCAAACCAAAAAACATATAGAGGCTGGAGCAATAGCACAGTGGGTAGGGCATTTGCCTTGCACGCGGCTGATCCGAGTCGATTCCTTCACCCCTCTCGGAGAGCCCGGCAAGCTACCGAGAGTATCTCGCCTGCATGGCAAAGCCTGGCAAGCTACCCGTGATGTATTCAATATGCCAAAAACAGTAACAACAAGTCTCACAGTTTGTTGTGAGACGTTACTAGTGCCCGCTCGAGCAAATCGATGAACAACGGAAGGACAGTGCTATATGTATACATATATATATATATATATAGAGAGAGAGAGAGAGAAATTTTTGTGACTCCATACTCCATATGGGGTTACAACCCCCAGATTCCCCGTTTAAGAAGCCAGGTCTACATTATACTTGCCCACTAAGGGGTTTAGTCAGGTTGTCAAGGCCGGAACCATTGTGCTACTCTTTGTCTCGCAGATACCTGGGTACAATGGTCTTCTCATCTGTCCCCGGGATCGGCTCTGTCGGAGCAATGCCAGGACCAATGCTGTTACTGTCCCACCTGCACGTCTTCCCACCCGAGACCGACTGTTGGAGCTGTCTGGATTAGCTGGGCCCCCGGGCCTCTCCCTGGGGGAGGAAGAGCGACAGCTGAGTACCACAGTCCTACCGGCTGTGGCAAGCACAGGTGGCGCTGGCAGGTAAACGGGTGGTTTGCCTTTTTGTGTGTTTTGGGCCACGTGTGGTAGTGCTCAGGGATCATTCCAGGTGAGGCTCAGAAGACCATGAGGTGCTGGGGATCAAGCCTGGGTCTGCCTGCCACATGCAAGGCGAGCAGCCTACCAATGTACTCTCTCCAGCCCTGCATCCCTTTTCTTTTCTTTCTTTTTTTTTTTGGCCACATTTGACGGTGCTGAGGGCATTCCTGGTGGTGCTCAGGAGACCATGTGTGGTGTCAGGATTCAAACAATTTCAGCTGTAGCTGCATGGTTGGCAAAAACCTATGTACTATCTCTTCAACCCCTCTATTTCTTTTTTTTTTTTTTAAGGGAGGGGTGTGCATCTGGCAGTACTTACAGGCTTTTCTTGGCTCTGATCAGGTGTGACCCCTGGAGATACTCAGGACCATATGTGGCACCAGGGATTCAAAGCCAGGTCAACAGGATGCAGGCAAGCCCCTTAACTCCTGTACTATCTCTCTGTTCACTCCCCTTGACTCCCCTTCTGGGAAAACACACATACCCTTTTGTTCATTTTTGTTTTGGGGGGTGTGGCCCTGTGATGCTCTGGGCTTACTCCTGGCTCTGGACGCAGGGCTATCACTTCCAGTGGTGCTCAGGGGACTCTACAGGGTGTCAAGGCTGATCAAATCATGGTCAGGAGCATGCAAGGCAAGTGGCTTAATGATTCAAGTGGCCTTGAATGATTTCTACAGTCCCTCTTAAAAAAATTATTTTTGGTTTTTGTTTGAGGGCTACATCCAGCAATGCTCAGGTATTACTCCTGGCCAGCTCAGAGGAGCACACAAAGCTGGGGATCTGGGGACCTAACCTAGGCTGGCTGTGTGCAGGGCAAGCACCCTACACTTCCTATTTTATTTATTTTCCATCTCTTTCCTTTTTCTTGTTGCTGGACATGCTCAGTTCTAGTGTGGAGATTGCATTTTGGCATGCGGGGTGACACTGAAGATTGAACTCATTACCTCAGTTCCTAAGGCAGGGATTCTATCAGAGCTATCCTTGAACCCCCTCTCGTCTTTTTTGGTTTTCATTGCACACCTGGCAGTGCTCAGGAGACCAGACTGGATCATGGAATTCCACATCAAAGCATCATCAAGTCCTTTGAGCTCTCCTGTTTGGTCCTGCCATCCTCAAGCACAAAAGCTAGTTACCCCTATTATTCTTTTTTCTTTTTGGGTCACACCCAGCAATGCACAGGGGTTACTCCTGGCTCTGCACTCAGGAATTACACCTGGTAGTGCTCAGGGGACCATAGAGGATGCTAGGAATCGAACCTGGGTTGGCCGCTTGCAAGGCAAATGCCCTGCCCGCTGTGCTATTGCTCCAGCCCCACCCCTATACTCTTGCAGGAGTCATTTTCCTCACTGACTTCCCACAATTTAAGATTTGGAACTTGGGGGCCAGAGAGTACAGCAGAGATGGTACTTACCTCGCATGTTGCCAACTGGAGCTCAGCATCACTTATGGTTCACCTGACACCACCAAGAGTGATTCCTGAGCACAGAGCCAGGAGAAAGCCCTGAGCACCAAGTGTGGTTCCCTCAATATTGGACTGGGCAGATAACTATGTTTTGCAAGCTGGAGGCCTGGTTTTGATCCCTGGTACTAAATGGTCCCTCAATCACCATTGGAAACCACTCTGGATGCCGAGAGTAGCCCCCAAGCTCTCCCAAGTGTGACTCTGAACCCAAACACTCCCCACCCCCACTGGCAAGAAAAAGAAAAAAACAGGGGTTTTGATTTTCTTCTTACTTTCAGGTTTTATATTTCCCTTTTTTAGCTTACTGCTGGAGAAAGCAGGTATTGTAAGGTCTATTAAAATTAAAGCCCTCCAAATTCCTAACTCTTGGTATCCCGAGGAAGATCCCTAACTCTTGGTAATCCCAAACATTATCCCAGAGGGCCGGGAGGCAGCTCAACAGGCTGAATGCAGGCTCTGTATGCAGGAGGCCCAGGCACAATCCCTGGCACCACCTGATCCCGAACACCAAGCTAGCCATCCCTGAGCACTGTTGGATATGGTCCCGCTCTCTTGCCCCCAAAGAAAACCAACTATTCCTTCTATGTTCTCAGGTTTCTGGCTACCTCAGACCATGACCACAATTCTGCCATGACTCATGGAGCACTGTCCACAGGACTTTGCCTAATGCTGGTTGTCCTGGTGGGTGCACTGGGAACCAGGGCCTGCCGGGAGCGAGGTGCTCCTCGGGTGGGGCCCTCTCCCCCTAACCACTCCCCAGAGCTCCCAGACACCAAGATCCAAGTGGAGGAGGAAGGTCGGAGGGATGCTGCCCAGAACAGAATGGGATAGGGTGGAGGTTATTGCTGTGACACAAGATGAAAAGTCACTTTATATCCTATACTTCAAGTCTGACTTTCTTCAGATTGCCTTTGTGTATCAACTCTATATAGTCTTGTAGGAATAAGGTAAAGGAGTAAAGTTTTGGAAAATTCAGTCTTTATTTTTATACAAAATTAAAAAAAATTAATAAAACCCTTTAACCCAAAACAAATTGCTACTTGTCATTGTATAAAGCAAAGTTACAGAATACAGCTACCTGTTCCAAGGGTACCCATATAGGCTTTGGGGGAGCTAAGGGGATCATTGCTACTTGGATTGAAACACAATGTGGCTGAAGTTAGTAGTAGCTACCTCTCTTGAGTCTCCATAATCCTAGGAGACTCCATCACTAGGAAAGCTAGGAGTTGGATGCTATATAATTACCACAGAATCCAGGCAGGTGATGAAACCAGCCCTCTGGATGCAGTGAAACCGCTAGGAACATGGCTTTTCCCTGGAGGTATGCTCTACACAAGGCAGCTCTGGGTTCAATCCCCTGCACCACATGGTCCCCAAGCACTACTGGGAGCAGTGCTCCTGTCCCCCCATTCCCTTCCCAACACCCCATCCCAGAGACCCTTCACTTCTACTTCCTGAGTAGATGGACACTATACCCACTGGGCTGCAGCAGGTTTGAATTATGTGTAAGTTGCTTTTATTTATTTATTTGCTTTTTGGGTCACACCCAGCAGTGCTCAGGGGTTATTCCTGGCTCTGCATTCAGGAATTATTCCTGGAACCATATGGGATGTCGGGGACTGAACCCGGGTCAGCCATGTGCAAAGCAAGTGCCCTACCCGCTGTACTATCACACTGGCCCAATGTGTAGGTTCGTTTTGATTATAGTTGAAACAGACGCCCTAAAATCTTGAGGCAAGAGCTTCTGAAAAGCAGCAGCGTTGGCTGGTAGGTTGTTTATCTGGAGTTGCTTTAGTGGCACACGTTTATGCTAGGAATCTTGCTGATGGCCCTGTTAACACTGAAATCACCAGCCCGGTCAGCAAGTTCAGTCAGGTGAGGACCCCCGCCAGCCAGACTTGGACATGGCTTGGACATGACAACGGTAAAACTGTCACTCAGTTCCATCAGCAACAGTCATCTTCTGTTACTGTTGTGGCCCTCAGTCCTTACCAGCTGTAGCAGCCACTGCCTGGTAAAACTGGGCCACGAAGTCAGGTTCACTGGCTTCCAGCTGCCTTATGAATTCATTGCGCTCCTCCTCCGCCCAGCCTCGAAACCACTGATCCCAAAGCCGTAGCTGGCACTCAAAGATACAAGGTGGCCGGTTTGCTCCAGACACACAGAGTTGCTCCAGACCTTCCAGCAGCAGCTGTATCTTCCCAGGCACTGCCTTCGCAACCAAGTCCTGCAGGAAGCGTTCGCGCTGAGGACCTGACCAGCTAGTGAACCAGTGAAGAACACACTTCATCTCCTGGGAAGTGATGTAAGACATTGGGGGCGGGGAGAGGTCCGGAACACTGTCAGGCACGGAGGGGAATAACGGGGGTGTCCCAGAAGATTCCAGTGGCATCCTGAAACATGAAAGCCCTGTTACTCTCTGAACAGAGCAAATAAAATACAACGTTCCAAAAAAGAACTGTACCATGGTCAACAATGTTCCAACAAGGAACATGTCAAAATGTGCTGCGAAAATCACTTCCTGCCCATTTGATTTGCAGGAAAACAACAGGATGTTATTTACATTTTTAACCCCACTACCATAGAGTAATCCAAGAATGATTTAGAATGACTTCACTTCTTACTTGCCAACCTTCCTCTTTTTTCCAAACCTATTACCATCCTAATCTCTGCTTCAATCATCTTTTTGGAGAGTAGGTACATCTGGCTCAAGCTTGCTTATTCTTGGCTCTGCACTCAGGGATAACTCCTGGTGGGCTTGGGGGACCATATGGGATGCCGGGGATAGAACCTGGGTCCACCTGTGCAAGCAAGTGCCTTATCCACTGTTCTACTGCTCCAGCCCTGCTCCCATCATTTAAAGATTCTGGAGATCAGCACCAACATATTTCTCACTCAATCATTCTCACTTGCCTCTGTAATATTAAAGGTTGACTAAAGGAAACACACAATAATCAATGCTGTCTAACCTGTCTTGCCTTAAAAAAAAAAAGGTAACTTCCTCCTCTTCCTAGTTGAATCTGTTGTTGCAGTGACCTGTGGTAATTGTGTGTGCACACAGGTATATATACACAGAGCTCACATTCTACACCTTAAATTCTTGTACATGCATTTGGTTGGGATCTAGCTGCTAATCATTCTCCAGTTACCAAAGAGGAAAGAAAAAAAAAACCGTATCATAAAAGGACCTTTTTTTGCAATAGTCCATTGCCTTTGAAATATACCAAAAACTTTATGCCATTCATTACTTCCTCATATTCCCTATGAAACACCAAGAGAATTTAAAGAACAAAGTGAAGGCACTTCCAAAAATAATACAACACGAAAGAGTAACATAGCTGCCCCACGTTTAGAAGAAAGAAAAGCAACCTCAGGGGTTTGGTGGCTGGGGCCAAAGTGTAGTACAGCGTTAGGTAAGGCACTTGCTTTGCACATGGCTGACCCAGGTTCAATTCCCAATCGATACCGCATATAGTCCCTTGAGCCAGCCAGGGAGTGATCCCTGAGCACAGAGCCAGGATTTAAGTCCTGAGCAAAGCTGGGCGTGGTCCCCCAAAAGCCAAAACCAAAACCACAGCAACAACAAAAAAGGGCTTGGAATCTGACCAGTGTTTCGTGACTTTTTCACACTTTTCTTTGAGCGTTGGCCCTGTCCGCGGATTGTCCTGCCACGGATCTGCACCACCGACGCAACTGCACGGTCGGCCAGCTCGGATCGCTGTCCCATCCTGGTGGAACCCATCCTAACGCCCGAGAGTAGGAAACCACTTGTCTGACCGGTCTCCCGTTCGTCTCTCCCGCAGCAAGCTGGGAGTATTTGCAGAGACGAAATAAGGGACTCCCACCCCCAAAGCAATTGACCTGCGCTAGGTATGAAAGTGGCTTCGAGGGTCTTGCCCACCGCCGCCCCGGAGGACGCCGGATCTGCGACCCACTCTCCCCGAGTCTCGGGACACGGCTGCGACGGCGACCACGGATCCGTTCAGAGCCGGGGTGCTGGTCCTTGCAGCCTCTGGAGCCCGCCCAGGTGGCCTGCAGCTCGGCCCCCGGTTGCATTTGCAAGCGGTAGAGGTTCGGGGCACGTTCCGGGGGGCGGCGGCTTTCTCCCTCGATTTGTTCTACGGAGGTAAACCGCCAGCCCCCAGGCCGGAGCCGGCCCCAAGGAGAGGTTTCTACTTCGCTTACCTCCCCTTTCCTCTCACAGGGCAGCCGGAGACCGTCTCCAGGGGGCTTAGTCCCCAATTACCACAGCCGCTTCCATGTTTCCTGAAAACCCTCCTGAAAACCCTAAACACAGCCAGCCCGGCAGCCCACGCACTTCCGGTCCCGGCCCGGCCCCAAAGCACCCAAGTGCCTCCGCGCCCCGGCCCCGGGCACGGAGAGAGCCGAAAGGCTCCGAATACGCTCAGGCCAGAGCCGAGTGCTTCCGAGTCTGTTCGCTTCCCAGCCTCGGGAAGACGAAGATACCCGAGTCCCGAAAGCAGGGAGAGGGAGGGGGCGAGGCGGAGAGGAGGGAGAGCGCAGATTGGTGCCGAGGTGGACGCGGAAACACCCGAGCAGTTCCGGAGACACCCGGGGAGCGCTGAGTGGTAATCGAGGGGTTGACTGTTGCAGTGGGCGGGGCCAGTGCGGTCCGTTCGAAGGGCGTTGGCGGAAATTACCGAAGATGCCCGAAGCCGTCGGGACGGACCCGAGTACCTCACGCAAGATGGCGGAGCTGGAGGAGGTGACTCTGGACGGGAAGCCTCTTCAGGCGCTGCGGGTGACCGACCTGAAGGCCGCGCTGGAGCAGCGAGGCCTAGCCAAGAGCGGGCAGAAGAGTGCCCTGGTCAAGCGGCTCAAAGGGGTAAGGGGACGGCGCTGCCGGGGTGTCGGCGGGGTGCGGACCCGGTAGAGACGAGTCTCTGCCGCGGCGCAGGCGCAGTGTCCGGGCTCGGCGCGAGCTCGCTCAGGCCGCCAGCGCGAGCCTCGGGGCCCCCGCGCGCTCGGGGGTTGGCGAGTCTCGTGCCGGGAGAGAGCGAGAGCGCGAGCGCGAGCGCGTCGGTTCCCGCCTTAACGGCAGCGGCGCGAGCCCCAAAATGGGAGGGTGCGCGCTACTCTCCCGGAGTGTCTTCGGCTTCTTCCTCCTTCCCCCACCCCCGCCTTGTTTGTGTCTGTGGCTCCGGCGCATGCGCCGCGGAAGGAGTTAAAGCCCACTACGACCCGCGGCGTTGCTGGCCCGAGAGAGGGCGGGGGTGGGGGGCGCCGATTGGGGCCGGGTCGGAGTTGTGGGGGTACGCTCGGGGGTGGGGTGGGGGTGGAGGTGGAGGTGGAGGGGGGAGGCGGCGGCGGACCGCCGGGAGCGGGTGCCCGGAAGGACGGGGCTCGGACCGGGCTGGACGTGCTCGCCCGGCGCGGCCGGGAGCTGCGCTGGGCTTGACGGCCGCCGGCGAGCGCGGCGCGCGAGGCTTCGGGCTCCCCGGGGCGTCCCGCCGCTCTCGGGGCGCCGGCGGAACCCGGTGGCGATTGGTGCGCGGGGCGGGCGGGGCGGTGAGTTGTTGGCGGGGCCGCCCCGGCCGGAGCGGGCGCGGGCGGGGATGGTCCGAGGGGCACCCGGGGAGCCGGGCTCGTCGTCGGGGCTCCGGAGGGTCCGTGGCGGGCCGTGCCGGCGAGGCTGGGCAACTGCCGCGGGTGCCGGAGGGGCCGAGAGACCGTTGCTTCCCCGGGGGCGGGCGGGGGGGGGGGGCAGGCGGTGCGGGGAGGGGAGGGGAGAGGAGGCTGATAGTTCGGCGTGAGTTGTGTGGCATGGGGGGTCAGAAACACCGGGTTGCCGCTGCAGTCGGATCATTTTTGTGTCCCTCCCGTTCCCCCCCCCTCCCCCCCCCCCCGCTCCCCAAACACACACCCCGGTAGCCGCTCTGTCATTTTCGGAAATCGAATCCCACGGAGCCTCCACTTTGTGTTGGCAACTCGAGTTCACTGAGCCAAGTAGGTGGGAGTCCCCGGGGTCACTCACAGACTTGAGGGGTTCATGGCCGCCCACCCCCAGCAGAATCCCCAGAGTGGTCTCGTGGAGTTGGTGGAGCTGATTGGCCTTGTGGTAGTGGTTTTTCCTACCTGCAATTGATGCGAAAGGGGCACTGACGGGTGCAGAAGATCAGAGGGGATGGGAGGCCCCCCACCCCCACCCTGCCTCTGCCTGTTGTTGATTTGGTGACATAGTTGGGTCACTCAGGCTGTTCATTGGGAGGTATGACCCTGGCTACCTTTGAGGGTCTTCGGTAGATGAACAGAACAGTCTTAGTAAAAGGCTGTAGGTCCCTGGCAAAGGACTGCGGTTTGTGTTTGGTTGATGGTTGCCTTTAGAGATTGGTTGGGAGAGTGTTGGTTTCCTTTCGCCCACTGGTGTGTGACTTTTGCCCTTCTCTGTACCAGGCCCTAATGCTAGAAAATTTACAGAAACATTCAACACCCCATGCTGCATTCCAGCCAAATTCCCAGGTAAGAAAGGTTCATTAGATGGGTGGGCCGTTTGGATGTACAGACACCAGGGGAAGGCATGGTGTTTATTTACTTATTTTAATGAACTTCTTAGTATTTTCTAGAGTCCCTTGGATCAGAAATTTTTTATACCACAACAGTTGAATTCTAATCAAGCCCGAATTTATACAAGGACAGGGAATAAAGAACATAATTAGAACAACTATTAATTTCTGATACTTGGCATGGTTTGTATAGAAAGATGTGACTAGTTGATTAAACATAGTACAGATCTCTGAAGTCATTTATTTGCCGTTGATTTAGGGAAAGTAGGAATGAAGTAGACAATAAGGGCACTGTAGGAAAATATTGATCCAAGAATACTTGTGTTGACATAGAATTTTCAAAAGTTTAAGCCTTTGAAAATCATTTACCTTTACTGGACTTAACTGCTGTAGGCTTACTCCTAAATATCACTAATAGCTCTGTTAGACAAGGAGCTTAAGTTTTGAAGTATTTGGTTTCTTCATTTTACTTATGTAGTAGGAGAGAAGGTTGGACAACTAGTTGCATGTATTTGTAACCATGCTGGGGTTTTGTGGAGTTGCCTTTTTTTTTTTTTTTAATGGCTATATCCGGCAGTACTCGGGGATCTGACTGTGCTCAGAGATTGCTGCAGGCAGGGCTCAGGGGACCATATAGGGTGCCAGGGATCAAACCCAGATAAGCAGTATGCCGAGCAAGTACCTTACCTGCTGCATTTTCTCAGTCTCTTGAAGGCCCTTCTTAGAGCCAAGTGTCCATTTGCTCAGAGAAGATGTCTTTCACACTCCTTTTAACTGATTGTGTCTATTTTTACCTGCATTATATATTGTAATAACCAAAATTTCTTTAGAAGAAATTCTATAACTAAAAAAAATTTGAGACTATGAGCTGATTTCTTTAGAGTGTGTATATACACATATATACATATATTTTTTTGGTATATACCTTTTTTTAAAAAAATTTTTTTTTTTGGTCACTCCCAGCAGTACTCAGAGGACTACCTGGGGTCACTGCTTGCAGGGCAAATACCCTGCCAGCTATACTATCTCTAGTCACAAACATGTGTATTTGTATTGGGGGGAGGTATTGGACCATACCCAGCAATGCTCAGGATTTTTTTTTTTCCTTGCCTTTTGGGTTACACCTGGCCATGCACTGGGGAATTACTCTATTACTCTTGGCTGTGCTCAGGGGAACATATGGGACGCCAGGGATCGAAGCTGGGTTGGCTACTTGCAAGGCAAATGTCCTGTCTGCTGTTCTATTGCTCTGGCCCCAGTGCTCAGGATCTTGTCCTGGCCCAGGGATCACTCCTGCCCCTCCTGCAGTGCTGTGGATTGAACTGGGGTTGGCTGCATGAAAGTCAAGTGCCTTTACTCCTGTACACTCTCTCCAACCCTCTTTAGCATTTTCAAATCCCTGTACAGTGGGTCATGCACTTACAGTGAAAAATCCAGGTCTTTGTAAGTACAGTGATGTGCAGCTCCAGTGTTAGATGAAGTCCCAAGGTACTTGGAAAAACAAGAGCGCCTTCCTACTCCCTTGTTACCACTTCGTTAAGCTGTAAGTATCATAATCCAGCCAGTTTACAGAGATTTAATTTACAATTTTAACAAGCGAAAGAAACCAAGTAATGAGCTCACGGTTACATTCTTTTTGCATTTTAGTTTTTGAAACTTTGATTTTATTAACATAGGTTTTTATTTATTTACTTTTTATGGTGCTGGCGATTGAACCCAATTCACACATATTTAGGCCAAGCACTCTTCCCTGAACCATATCCTCAACCTCTAACATAGGATTTTTGTGACAAATACTTGTATCCTCTAATACTTGCTACCCAAGTTTCCTCAATACCTATGGTGTACCAGAAATTCAGTTCTAGTTTAGGTAAAAATAAGCATTTACCATGCTTAAGAAAGTTCATTGGTAACACATAAAGTATTTGGATTTTTTCCTTTTTCTAGAGTACTAATAGTAGTACTTACCAAGCAAGAATGTTCTCTTGGGGCCTATCTTAATCATATAGTGGGTAAGGTACTTACTTGCCTTGCATGCAGCTGATCTGGCTTCTATCTCCCGAACCCCAGATGACCCCTCCAGGTCATGCCACGAGTGATCCCTGAGCACAGAATCAGGTGTAAGACCTGAACACTCCCATGTATGGCCCAAAAACCAATCAAAAAAATGTTCTCAGGAGGAGGACTTGGTGCAAAGAAAGCTGAGGGCAGGAAGGTGATAAGGATAGTCTGAATTGCAGAAAAAGGAATTAAACTCCTGGATTTTGTTTGTTTGGGACACACTTGGCTCTATGCTTTAGGATGGTTCTCAGTGGTACGCAGTGCTAGGAACTGAACCTGGGTCTCCTGTGTGCAGAGCATACTTTCAGCCTATTCCATTATTTGAGTTCCTGGATTTTAAATATCATTGCTGAGGATTTTTTCTTATCTGAAGAAAATAGGAATAAGAACTCTGTCTAAATGCTGAATTGAGGGCCAGAGCGATAATACAGTGGGGAGGGCATTTACCTTTCACATGGCAGACTCGGGTTCTATTCCCAGCATCTCGTATGGTCCCCAAAGCACTGCCAGGAGTAATTCCTGAGTGCATGAGCTAGGCGTAAACTCTGAGCATCGCTGGGTATGACCCCCCTCCCCCAAAAAAAAGGCTGAATTGAGGGGCCAGAGTAAAAGTACAATGGCCCTGCACAAGGCCAACCCAGGTTCTATCCCTGGCATCCCTCCTGAAGCACCTCCGGGTATGACCCAAAAAAACAAACAAAAAATGCTGAATTGATAGTCCCTTTCCTTAGTCTCTTGGTCTTAGATCTTAAATACTGTACTTGAGTTTTGGAGATACAGCAAAACGTGTGTTGGATAAATGGAGAATGATCTTTTTTTTTCTTTCCTATTTTTTTGAAGGAATTGTATTTAGATAATAATTTTAAGTTATGTAAAACTAAATCAGCTACATTTCCACAGGAATGTTGACTTATTTTTACTTTATTTTGGTTTTTGGGTCATACCCAGCAATGGTCAGGGCTTACTTTTGGCTCTGCAATCAGGGAATCACTCCAGACAGGCTCTGGGGACCATATGGAATGCTGGGGATATCAAACCTGGGTCTGCTGTGTGCAAGTATCCCACCCACTGTTCTATTTCCCTAACAGCTAATTTTATTATTTTTTTAAAGAAATTTTATTTTTTAGATTTTAATTATTATTATTATTTTGCTTTTTGGGTTACACCCAGTGATGCTCAGGGGTTACTCATGGCTCTGCACTCAGGAATTATTCCTGGTGGTGCTTGGGAGACCATATGGGATGCCAGGGATTGAACCCTAGATGACTGCATGCAAGGCAAACGTCCTACCCTCTGTACTGGTCCTAATTTTATTTTTAAATTGTTTGTGCATCACTCTTTGGTTAGGAACTGAAAAATTACATTGCTTGGTGTTATAGTTAATGCCTTGTATGCTTAAGGCTCTTGGGTTCAGTCTCTGGCATTGGGTGGGGAGGGATATAATAAAATTATTTATGGCAATTCCTCTTTCTGCCACCTTTTATGATAAATAGAACTACTTTGGCCCTCAACATAGGAATAGCTTAGAAAAGGACCTTCAGATATTTTTTTCTTTCATGGGTCCAAACATGCGAGATAGACTTTACTTCATGGAATTTTCTTTTTGCATTTTCCTGGTTTGCTTTCCTAGACTTTCTTTTTCCATGTCCTCTACATAGATTGGCGAGGAAATGAGCCAGAACAGTTTCATAAAGCAGTATCTGGAAAAGCAGCAGGAGCTACTTAGGCAGCGTTTGGAACGTGAAGCTCGTGAAGCTGCTGAACATGAAGGTAAGCCTAGACTGTTGCTTATTACAAGGAGTTCTTTATTCATAGTCCTGTCACAGAGTAGATGGGCTTGTTTAGGCAATTTTAGGAATAAGCCAGGCTGAAAAGTGCAACTTACTTGCTTTGATAGTTTATGGAACCAAGAGAGTTTACTATTTTTACTTTTGTCAGGGAAAAAGACACATATTTTACTGTTATTTTAGAATTCCTGCCAGAGGAGGAAGAGTTATAAGTAATTTTCATTTTATTTTGGCTATGCTTAGGGGTTATTCCTGGCTCTGCACTCAGGAAATAGTCCTGGTAGTGCCCTGGGGACCATGTGGGATGCTGGGTATTGAACCTGGTTTGGTCATGTGTAAGACACTCTTCCCACTGTACTACTCCTCTGGCCCCAAATTATAAGTAAACTGCTTTAGGTAGAACTTACTCTTAGGGAGATTTTTCTCTTTGTGCAGTGCTCTTTGTAGTATATACTCTCTATCTCTGACTTTGCCTCATGTCCTCACTCCTCCACATATTCCCTCATGCTGAGCCCTTCACTCCCTCCCTGCCCCGACCCAATCTGTACTTTGCAGACGCTTCAGCAGAGTCTGAGGACGAGATGATCCATCCCGAGGGAGTGGCTTCCCTGCTGCCTCCTGACTTTCAGAGCAGCCTGGAGCTCAGCAGACATTCACCCAGTACGTATCTCCCTCCCCACTGCGCTCTTAGGTCAGTTCGCGTAGTTGGTGGGGGGAGATAGTTATACCTCCTTTCATGCTAAGCCTTCATAAAGCCCTAGGAAAATTCTGTGACGTTTCTATTTGACGTCTTTTTTTTTTTTCTTTTTGGGTCACACCCGGCGATGCTGGGGGTTACTCCTTCCTGGCTCTGCACTCAGGAATCACTCCTGGCGGTGCTTGGGGAACCATATGGGATGCTGGGAATCGAACCCGGGTCAGCTGCGTGCAAGGCAGACACCCTACTCGCTGTGCTATTGCTCCAGCCCCCTTGACATCTGTTTTTAAGGAAAGAATGTCTTTTTTAAAGTCTCTGTCATGTCAAGCTCTCCAGAATATTTTATGAAGTCAAACATTTCTTTCCGTTTGTACCTCTTTAAGTCTCTGCTTTCTCTCAGTTTAGTAACAAATGCAACTGTTTGTCTCTTCATCAAGTGTATGTGTTGCATCTTCAGTCATATCTCCCAGTATATCCAGTCATACCTCCAGGTGTGCATCTGCTGCAATGACTAATTCATTCACCAGACTGGCTTCCAATACCTGTTATATTGCACATTAGGAATACAGCAGAGGAAGACAAAAGTATCTGCTAAGGAAATGGCGAGTTCAGCAAAGAATACTGTCTGTACTGGACTGTCCTCCCGTTGTTCATCGATTTGCTCAAGCAGGCCCAGTAACGTCTCCATTTTGAGACTTGTTGTTACTGTGTTTGGCATATCGAATACATCACGGGTAGCTTGCCGGGCTTTGCCGTGCGGGCAAGATACTCTCAGTAGCTTGCCGGGCTCTCCGAGAGGGTCAGAGGAATCGAACCAGGCTCGGCTAGGCTGGCTGTGCGCAAGGCAAACGCCTTACCATTGTGCTATTGCCCCTGGGGATTAAACAAGTTATTACCTAAGTATTTACAGTTGTGTTGTCTGCTATGTAAAGAGGCAGGGCAGAATTTTGGTTTGTTTTCAGGACATACCCGCAGTACTCTAGGCTTACTTCTGACTCTGCACTAAGGGATCACTCCTAGAGGACTTGGAGGACCATATAGGGTGCTGTGGATGGAACCCTGGTCAGTGACGTTCAAGACCGGTGCCTTACCTGCTATACTATTGCTCTAGCCAGGGGCAGGTTATTTTTGTTAGAAAATTGCAGATCTTCTGATACAGTGTGTTCAAGGAAGATTAATTTTTTTATGTTACTAAAATTTCTGAACACCCAGCTTTGCTTAATGTTCTATAAATGCAGCCTTTTAGGGGCTGAAGTGATAGTACAGTAGGGAAGGTGCTTGCCTTGCACGTGGCTAACCTGGATTTCAATCCCACCATGTAGTATCCCCCCCCCCCCCCCCCCCCGCCCCACCAGGAGTATCCCTGAGCACTGCTGGGTGTGGTCTTCAAACCAAAGTAAGTAAATTAATGCACCCTTTTGTCCTATAGGTAGTTATGTTTATATATATGCGCACACACACATAGATATACATATATATAAGTAGCACTGTAGCACTGACCTCCCGTTGTTCATCGATTTTGCTTGAGTGGGCACCAGTAACATCTCCATTGTGAGACTTGTTGTTACTGTTTTTGGCATATCGAATATGCCACGGGGAGCTTGCCAGGCTCTGTCATGCGGGCGGGATACTCTTGATAGCTTGCCGGGCTCTCCGAGAGGGATTGAGCAATTGAACCCGGATCGGCCGCGTGCAAGGCAAATGCTCTACCTGCTGTATGTATATAAAATCCGAAGTGCAAATTAGCTAATATTTTGAACCACCTTTTGGTGGGGAGGACAGCTTGAGCGCTCCCCACACCAAAAGGTAGGGTTTTGTGTGTGTGTGTGGGTGAGAGAGAGAGAGAGAGAGAGAGAGAGGGAGAGAGAGAGAGAGAGAGAGAGAGAGTAGAGCAAATGTACAAACAAGGCCCTGGGTTTGGTCCCCAGCACCATGTACATTCCCAATACCACTGCATACATGAACACTTCTCTAGAAGTGTTGCCCTGATTGCTAGCCCTGAGCAGTCCTGTGTCACCCACCTGTGAAAACACAAAATTATCAGACCAGCACATCTAGTTGCCATTGAATGGCCCCTATAGAATATATATATGTAGACATTCATTGAATTCCACTATAGGGGCTGGATAGATAGTATAGCTAGTAAAATGCTCACCTTGTATGCAGCTGACCTGGGTTCCATCCCCAGCTTTCCATATGGCCCTCTGAACACTATCGGAAGTGATTCTTGAGTGCAGATCCAGGAGTAACCTGTGAACATTGCCAGATGTGACCAACCTCCCTACCCACCACCAAAAACAAATTTCTGCCAAGTGCAGATGTGCATGCCAGGATATATTTGAAGTTAACACTTTGTCACTGTCACTGTCCTCCCGTTGTTCATCAATTTGCTCGAGCAGGCCCAGTAACATTGTGAGACTTGTTACTGTGTTTGGCATATTGAGTATGTCAACGGGTAGCTTGCCAGGCTTTGCCGTGCGGGCGAGATAATCTCGGTAGTTTGCTGGGCTCTCCGAGAGGGGCAGAGGAATTGAACTTCGGTCGGCCATGTTGGCTGCGTGCAAGGCAAACGCCCTACCTGCTGTGCTATCGCTCTAGCCTAAACACTTTGTGAAATTTATTATAATTGCATATTAAACTTAACAGATGGTATGCTTTTGGTATGTATGTATATATGATTGTACGTATGTATTTATGATGCCAGAAGTCAAACCCAGGGCCTCACACCTGCAAAGACTGTGCTTTATCATTAATCTACATCCACAGCCCAAAGATTTTTTTTGTGTGTGTGTGTTTTTAAGCTGTTTTGTTTTGTTTTGTTTTGTTTTGTTTTTGGACCATACCTGTCAATGCTCGGGTTTCTCCTGGCTCTGCACTCAGCAATCATTCCTCGCAGTGCTCAGAGGACCTTATAGGTTGTCAGGATTTGAACCCTGGTCAACCACCTCCAAGGCAAGCAAGCACTCGTACCTACTGTCCTATCTATCTGAATCTGGTATGTTTTATTGGGGGGGGGGGCTTTTTTGGCTTTCTGGGTCACACCTAGCAATGCTCAGGGCTTATTCCTGGCTCTGTACTCAGGAATTACTCCTGGCAGTCCACTGGTGACCATATGGGATGCCAGGATTGAACCTGGATCGGTTGAATACAAGGCAAATGTCCCACCCACTGTGGTATCGCTTCAGCCTCAGGCTGGTATGTTTTTAAGTGACATAAGTAGTATTGAAGCCAGAGTGATAGTACAGTGTAGGACTCTGGCCTCACTTACATAAAGTATAAGCTCATTGAGCTCTCTCTGGTCCAGTGTTGGCTCTTGATGTTTGGGCAAATGTTAGATGATACATTGCAGTCAGTGTAGTGTCAGACAGATTAGCTTCGTTGCTTTAAAAATCTTCTATGCTCTATCTGTTCATCCCTTACCCTCGGCCTTTTTTCCTTTTATTAGCCATAACAAATCAGTCTTACTCGTATTTGCAGAGAACCTTAAAATTTATGGAAAGCATTCTTTTAGTTTTTTTTGGGGGGGGGGGGCTAGTTGGGCTGGGGGTGGGGCTTGGCCTACACCTCATGGTGCTCATAGTTCTATGCTCAGGGATTACTCCTCGTTGTATTCAGGGGACCATATGCAGAGGATTGAACCTGGGTTGGCTGCATGCAAGATAGGAGCCCTACCCACTGTGCTATCTATCTCTCTTGTCCATAGTTTTACTTTTTTTGTTTGTTTGGGGGCCACATTCAGTAGTACTCAGGGCTTATTTCTGGTTCTCAGAAACCAGGGGCTTGGATAACATATATGTTGCCAGGGATCAAACCTGGATCAGCCACATGCAAGGCTGTACTGTCTTTCCAGCCCCAGTCTCACTCATTATTATGACTTGATCTATCATAGCTAATTTAATTATGAAATTATATACCTGCCCAAACTATTAATTTCACAGATTATTCGTCAGCTATCTTCTGAGGAGTCTGGCCTGTCACTGTTTATCCTGACCATTGATGCTATACACATACTCATAATGCAGCTCATTACTAACTTGTGGTTTATACATAGAGATTCTATTAAACAAGTGAATTGCTTTGTTTTAATTTTTTGTGTTTGGGCCACACATGGTGGTGTTCAGGGGTTACTCCTGACTGTGAGCTTAGAAATCAGGGAATCAGGAGGGTTAAGGGAATCATATGGATTGTAGGGGATCAAATCCAAGTGAGTCATGTGCAAGACAAGTGCTCTACCCACTGTACTTATCACTCTGGCCCCTATATAAATGATCTTTGAGTAAAAATTGCAACTTCTAGTTTGGGTGTTTTTTTTTTTTAATTGAATCACTGTGAGATAGGCACTTAAAAAGCTGTTCATGGGGCTGGAGTGATAGCACAGTGGGCAGGCATTTGCCTTGCATGTGGCTCATCTGGGTTTGGTCATCGGCATCCCATATGGTCCCCCAAGCACCGCCAGGAGTGATTCCTGAGTGCAGAGCCAGGAGTAACCACTGAGCATTGCCAGGTATGACCCAAAAAGCCAAAAAAAAAAAGTTGTTTATGATTAGGTTTCAGTCATTCAGCATATTCAAGCATTCCAACATCCATACCTCCACCATTGTACATTTCCCAGCACCGGTTCCCCAGGTTCCCTCCCATCACCCTCTTACTTCCCATCTAGTTTGTTTTATGTTTATTGTTTATGCTTCTTTGTGGTGGGGGTGGGCAGTGGGACCCACATCTGGCAGTGTTCAAGGTTTTTTCTTGGTACTGTGCTCAAGGATCACTCCTGGGTGGATGTGATTTGGGGCACCATATGTGATGCCGGGGATCGAATCCAGGTCAACTACGTGAAAGGGAAGTGCCTTACCTCCTGTACTCTCTCATTGCACAACCCCCCTTTTATTTATTTATTTATTTATTTATTGAATCACTGTGGGAAAGGTTACAAAGCTTTCAGGTTTATGTCTCAGTCATGCAAATATCAAACACATTTCCCTTTACCAATACTTATTAACCCCCTTTTTTAAATCAGAAGCAGAGATTCAGACTGTTTTTTAGACCTTTTAAAAATATGAGAGAACACCTTGATTAGAGCTCATACCATCTGCTTTATTAGTTTAGAAACTAGCTACTTAAACTGAGTTGTGACTCCATATGTAACCATGTAACTGAATGCAGAGATCATGAAAAATCTGTTTTACAAAATAAATTTATAAGGGGGTTTGAACACTAATGCAGCATTTGGCTTGCACACAGTTGCATCAGCTGCAACCCTGGTTCAAATCCCCAGCACCACATACACATATAGTCCTCTGAGCACTGCCAGGGCTTATCCCTCAGCACAGAGCTAGGAATAGCCTCTAGAGAGCACTAGGGATGTCCCAACACCCTACCCCTCCATAAAATAGGTTTGTGATTCCTTATCAATAATGTTTGATATATTTGCCTTTTTGGGGGCACAGGGGACATACTTGGCGGTACTCAAGGGTTACTCCTGGCTCTACACTTGGAAATTAACCCTGGTGATGCTGGGGGTACCATATAGGATGCTGGGGATTGAACCCAAATCAGCTGTGTACGAGGCAGGCACCATACCCAGCCCTTACATACCTATTCTGTATACCTGAAGTCACATGAAAATTTCTTTGGCAAGAAGGGGTTACAAAAGGAAAAAAGTTTAAAAGGCCCATTGTTTCGTGGTTAATTTAACTTTTTTGTTTTTTGTTTTGGGACTTATCAGCACCCAGCAATGCTCAGGGCTTATTTCTAACACTGTGCTTAGGAATCTATTCCTGGCAGACTCGGGGGACCAATTGGGATGTAGGAGGTTGAACAGGGTGGCTGTATGCAAAGAAAACACCCTACCCACTATATTTTTCTAGCCCCTGAATTTTTTGTACATGGCTAAAAGTGAGCCTATTTCTAGTTAAGTGTCTTGGATAAAATTATCTTTAGGGTGTCATTCTAAATTCTTATTAATATTTGAATATAACTTTGTAATATTGTAATACTAGTAGAAAACCACTTTTTTTTACCTTTTTTGGGGGGGGTGGGTCACACCCGGCGATGCACAGGGGTTACTCCTGACTCATGCACTCAGGAATTACTCCTGGAGGTGCTCTGGGACCATATGGGATGCTAGGAATCAAACCCAGATTGGTCGCGTACAAGGCAAACACCCTACCCGCTATGCTCTTGCTCCAGCCCCAGAAAACCACTATTTAATACTGATAAACATCTTTAGTTTACCCCCTTTCTTCATTAGTCAAAACATTGAACCCGGTTTATTGCACTTCTTTTGTTTTGTGCTGGGGGCTACTCTTGACTAGGTGTGCTTAGGGGTTAGTCTTTAGTTGGTATTTGGGGGACCATGTGGTTCTGGAGATCAAATACCAGGACTCCTATATACAAAGTACAAGCTACCTCCACAACCCAATACCCAAACTCTTTCTGTGTGTGTGTTTTTTGGGTCACACCCGGTGATACTCAGGAATCACTCCTGGTGGTGCTCGGGGGACCATATTGATGCTGGGAATTGAACCCGGGCCGGCCATGTGCAAGGCAAATGCCCTACCTGCTGTGCTATCGCTCCAGCCCTCCAATACCCCAAATCTTTTATTATTTGCTTTTTGGGTCACACCTGGCGATGCACAGGGTTACACTCAGGAATTACCCCTGGCGGTGCTCAGGGGACCATCTGGGATGCTGGGAATCGAACCCACGTTAACCGCATGCATGGCAAATGCCCTACCTGCTGTGCTATTGCTCCAGCTCCCCAATACCCAAATTCTTTTTTTTAAGTTAAAGGGTAAGCAATTTATTAGCCGTCCTTTTAATTGTAGTTAAAGAAACATGGTTAATATTTTGTAGTTGTGTGCACAAAGTTATTACACCTTTCCCACTACCAAAGTATCAGAAACATTCATCCACTGCCCTAATGTCATGTCTTCCTTACACCCCCTCCCCACACTGCTTGGTGGCCTCAATTCTTTAATCAAAGTTCAAGAGTTTATTACTCAAAACTGCCTATTCCATTTTGTGCCTTTATGTACCACATATGAGTGAGATTATCCAGTAATTTCTTCTCCATCTGATTTAATTTGCTTAGCATGATACCTCTATGCTCATTCACAGTGTTCCTTTTAAATAAAATCATTACTAAAATATTAACCATCCTTACCTCATTCTAATATCCAGAAATTCAGTCCTGATCAAAATATATATCTTGCGTAGGCCCTTTAACTTGGACATAGAAAAGTACTTACAAAAGTATATGTGAGACTATAGACCAAACATGACTGCCACTCACTGCCTCTCCTGCAAACCACAATGCCCAATAAGAGAGAAGCAAACAAAAGGGAATGCCCCGCCACAGAGGCAGGGCGAGACGGGGGAATTGGGGGGGGGGGAAGAGGGATACTGGGATCCGGGGTGGCTACCCAAATTCTTAAAGTGATTTTCCCGTAGTTATTTTCAGTTGAATATATGTGACTTTTTAACTTTTTATGTGAACTTCATCGATTTGCTCGAGTGGGCCCAGTAACATTGTGAGACTTGTTACTGTGTTTGGCATATCAAATATGTCATGAAGGATTCCTTCTCCCCTCTTGGAGAGCCCGGTAGGCTACTGAGACTATCTCGCCTGCACGGCAAAAGCCTGGCAAGCTACCCGTGACATACTTGATATGCCAAACAAGTCTCACAATGTTACTGGGCCCGCTCGAGCAAATTGATGAACAACAGGAGGACAGTGACAGTGACATGAACTTAGTTTTCCTAAGGAAAAAATTGAGGGGCTGGAGCAATAGCACATCCAGTAGGGCATTTGCCTTGCATGCGGCTCACCTGGGTTCGAGTCCCACCATCCCATATGGTCCCCTGAGCACCACTAGGTGAGTGCATGAGCCAGGAGTAACCCCTGTGCATCATCAGGTGTGATCCAGAAAGCAAAAAAAAAAAAAATTTGGAAAAACTTTTGAATTCCCAATATGTAAAATACAATTGAAAGGGTCCATTTTTGAAACCATTTTTTGTTTTTTCAGTGCTCAGGGAATACTTTATGCTCAGTGTCCAAGGGACCATTCGGTTCTGATGATCGATCCATTTTTCCTGTCTGGGCTTGAAGTAAAAGGGACTTTTAGGAACTTTAAGTTCCTTAAAACCACCATTTAGGGGCTGGAGGCATAGTACAATGGGAGAGGGCACTTGCCTTGCATATGGCTAACCCAGGTTTGATCCCCAGCATCCCATATGGTCTCTAGAGTACCATCAGTAGTGATTCCTGAGTACAGATTGAGGAGTAAGCCCTGAGCATCACGGTGTGGCCAGAAACCAAACCAACAAACAACCCATTATTTAAGGTAATTGGTCATCTGATGAAAAGGGACACCAACCTGTGGTTATGTTAAAATCCTATTTTTTTTTTTTTGGCCGAGTGGGGCAGTGGTTTGGCCATATCCAGCAGTGCACCAGGATTATATGTGGTGCTGAGGATCAAAACTGGCTTGGCCGTATACATGCTAACTTACCTGTACTATCAACCCAGTGACGTTTTACATGAATAATTGCCCTTTGTATTTTTACATTCCTGTCTGAAAGTTTGAAGTCTCAAAGTTATTTTATATTTATTTGAGTTATTTGTAATATGTGAGTTGATTTTGAGATATACTAAAATGTTTTAGATGTGTATACCAGAAATAATCAGTAAAACCGTGACTTTTAAAATTTAATCCTCCTGAAACTCAGCTTAAAGTATGCACTGTAGTTGCCTCATTAATAACTCTGACGGGGCTGTTTAGGGGGATATGAAGGGAGGAACACCTGGCGCGGTGCACAAGTATCACTCCTGACGGGCTCAGGGGACTATATGTGGTGCTGGGTATGCAACCAGGGTTGACCGTGTGCAGGGCAACTGTCCTACCCATTGTATCTTTCTGGCCCCTGACAGGGCTTTTTCTTCTTTCTTTCTTTCTTTCTTTCTTTCTTTCTTTCTTTCTTTTAATATCTGTCTCTTCTTCCTTGTAAAAGCCAGAGAAATTGAAGCAGATAATGTACTAACTATAGTACAAATGATTCAGTTGGTTGAATTTTAGTAAGCAGCCTTGAATGAATCTTTGTCATATGTTTGACTTAATACTTATTTTCATTTAATAGGAAAAAGCTCTATTTCTGAAGAAAAGGGTGAATCTGATGATGAGAAACGAAGGAAAGGAGAGCGACGCTCAACTAGGGTCAGACAGGTAACTCTGTATACCTCCTAAGGCATTCATCCCTTTGGACAGTGCTTTGGACATCTTAACAATTAGAGTTTTAAGAATTGGTGCTTTTTTAGATTCACCATCATCATCATCCTCATCTCTCTTTCTCCTTGGTTTTTGGGCCACAGCTGGTGGTGCTCGGGCCACTCCCAGCTTTGCTCAAGGGCATTCCTTGCAGTGTTCAGGGAACCGTGCATTGCTGGTGATCAAGTCAGGCCTCTTGCAAAGCATGTGATCAACCTGGTCCCCATGTTTGTCTTGTTAGCGTTAAATTGTTTTTGATCTGCTTTGCATTCAGATTCATAAGTAAGCATATAAAAAGTAAAACTTGGGTATGCAGAGGTAGTACAGAGTTTGAAGGTTTGAAGTTTGAAGGCCTTGTTGCATGTGACACATCACAGTTTGATCCATAGCTACACAAGGTCCATTGAACGGTGCTAGTAGCAGTCCTCATGCACAGAGCCAGGAGTGGCCCCTGAGTACTGCAGATTGTGGTCCAAACCATCCTTCCCCGGGTACTCACAGAAACGTAGGACTTAAATTTTGAAAACTTATTAGAATTTGCCGTCTATTCTGTCTCTAAAGCACTTTATTGAAATGTATATGACAATTGAAATCTTAAAGCTCTAAGATTCTATATTGTCAGCAGAATACAAAAGTGTATGTGTGGGCCGGAGCAATAGTACAGCAATGAAGGCATTTACTTTGCATGTGGCTGACCCGGGTTCAATTCCCAGCATACCATATTGTACCCTGAAGTGCACCACCAGGAGTAATTCCTGAGTGCAGAGCCCGGAGTTACCCCTGAACGTCGCCGGGTATGACCCAAAAGGGGGCGGGGGGAAAGTGTATGTGTAATTATAACTGAATGGGAAGGAGAGGTGAGCAGACAGCTGAACTGGCTGAGTGCATGCTTTGTATTGAGGAGGCCCAGGTTCAATCCCTGGCACCAGATAGTCTCCAAATAACCCTGAGCACTTTTGATTTGGCTCCTCAAAAATAAGTGCGGAGTATTAAATATACCAAAATGATGGTAATCATATTCGTGATCAGAGGACATATTCGTGATCAGAGGAGGCCTCCCTTCTACTCCTCCCCTCCCCCTGCCTCCTGTTTTCTAGACATTGTGTATATTTATATTTTGGGTTTCCCAGCCAGTACTCCAAAGGCTTCTGGGGCCTCTCTCATAGCCAAACAGAATAGTTCAGTGTAAGAGTCTGAGGATGCAGTGCTGCTGGGACCCGTGATGCTGGAGATGACCTGGGCTACCCTGGCCAGTGCTCAGAGACCTCTAGGGCTGCACCTGGCATTACTGGGGTTCGTACAGGGGTTGATTGCATGCACGGCATATGCCCTATTCCTGTCCTTTTTTAAAAAAATTTTTTTTTATTAAAAAAATTTTTTTAATAGTGAGACATCATGAGGTACAGTTGCAGACTTACACATTTTTGTGCTTGGGTATTCCTGTACTTTTTCTGCAGACCCTGTTTGTGTTTGTTTTTAAAGTTTGAAACCAGAAAAAAATGAACAGCATAATTGTATTGTCTTTGGTCACTTTATTTTTATTCCTGTCCCACATTAGTCATGCTCCTTATACTCAGTTCTGTGTTGATTAAAGTGTTTTTCATTGAGATTCTCTCCCATGTTAGTCTAGTGAGGTGTTTATTCTCTTTTGTTGATAGTAAATAATTTGAAAACATTGTCTTTTAGGCAAGAGCAGCTAAACTCTCTGAATGCAGTCAGGCTGCTGAAGAGGAGGAAGATCAGGAAACACCTTCCAGAAATCTGAGGGTCAGAGCAGATCGAAATATAAAAACTGAGGAGGACGAAGAGGAGGAAGAGGAAGAGGAAGAAGAGGAGGAAGAGGAGGAAGATGATGATGAGGGACAAAAGTCTAGGGATGCACCTGTCCTAAAACAGTTTAAAGTAGAATCAGGGGGAGAAATGCCCGGAGCAAAACCAGAAGAAGTGATGGACGAGAAACCCCAAACTGTAAGATCCCCGGAGCAGGAACTATTAGAGCGAGGAGGTAGGGTGACAAGGTCCCAGGACGAGGCAAGAAGAAGTTATCTGGCTAGACATCCGCCAGAGAAAGAGATGCAGACAGCTTCTCCCCCTGAGGAAGAAGGAAAGGAAACTAAACCTTCAAAAGACTTAGAGGGAAAACCCAAGTCTCCTTCTCCCCCTCGATTGACAGAAGATGTGGAGAAGGCCCTTCTGGTGCTGCCGCCGGAGCATACTGCTGGTGAGGAGGAGGCGCCCCCACCTTTACTTACCAAGGAAGCTACTTCTCCACCAAAAACACAACTGCAGAGTGAAGAAGCAGAGCCCATGGAAGGCCCAGCCCCCCCTGTTCTCACTCAGTTGTCGCCTCCTAATGCAGATGCTGAGGTTAGGGAGGTATTACTATCTCAGCACTCTGTCCAGGTGGTGGGAAGCCTGCCTCCTTTGTCAAGTCCTGCAGACACCAAAGCAGAATCTTTAGTGAAGGAAATGCCAGAGAGTGCCCTGCCTGCAGTACAGGCAAGCACACTGGCTGAATCAACTCAGAAGATAACTGAAACAGAGTCAGAAAAATCTGCTCAGTCACTCTCTCTAAATATCGAGGAGTTAGCACCAACCAAAGGGGTCACTGAGGAATCTTTGAAGCAGCCATCTTTGGAACAGAAGGAAGGCCTGAGGGCTTCTCCTGCCCTTCTGCCTAGTCACGGATTAAAACGGTCAGCCGACTCCTCCTCTAGCCGTTCCTCCTCCTCTTCCTCCTCCAGTTCTAGGTCAAGATCTCGCTCTCCGGACAGCTCAGGCTCTCGGTCCCACTCACCTCCAAGATCCCAGCAGAGAGATGTATCTCAACCACACATTCTCACCAACCCTCATGGTCGATCCACAATGGGTTCCAGATCTACATCTGAGTCCAGATCACGTTCCCGATCTCGTTCTCGTTCAGCCTCAAGTAACAGCAGAAAAGTGAGTGTTGGAGGCTTCTGCTGCGTTTGTCATTCTCCCTCTGTCTCGGGTCTGTGCTTCACTTTAACTTTTTTGTGGAGGTGGGAATTTGGTCAAGGTCTTACACGTGTGAGACATGTGCTTTCTTGTAAACATTAAGCAATATCCACAGTTCCTTCCAGTGTTTTTCAGCCCCAGTATAAACTGTCATGATTTCTGACTGGAATTAAGAGAATAATCTTCCTTAAGATCTCAGTTTGCAGATTCTTTCCCCTCATCTCAGAGTCAAATATTTTCAGTTCCTTGATCCCTGAATGGAGTTCTTTTGAGTCCAAAGAAAGTTGAGGACCAAGGCCTTGAGTTCTTTCCCCAGCACCCCTGGAGATACCCAGGACACCAACTATTTCTATCTGAGCCAGATTCCCCCCCCCCCCCCCCCCCTTTTGGGTCACACCTGGCAAAGCACAGGGTTTACTCCTGGCTCTGCACTCAGGAACTACTCCTGGCGGTGCTCAGGGGACCATATGGGATGTTGGGAATCAAACCGGGTCAGCTGTGTGCAAGGCAAACGCCCTACCCGCTGTGCTATTGCTCCAGCCCCTGAGCCATATTTTTATCTCCAGGAGTGCCTCCTTGCCCCTGCCCCCGCACCACTGGCAAGGCCCCTGTTAAAACACAAAGTTAAATCTACAGATCCATCTCTTCATCTAGACTATATCTCTTTGTTGGCTACATCCAGCGGTGCCTACGGATCAGTCCTGGCAGTGTGCAGAGGACCGTTATGTGGTACTGAAATTGAATTAATGACCTGGGTTCGATTCCTCTGTCCCTCTCGAGAGCCCAGCAAGCTACTGAGAATATCCTGCCCACACGGCAGAGCCTGGCAAGCTCCCCGTGTTGTATTTGATATGCCAAAAACAGCAACAGGAAGTCTCACAATGGAGACATTGCTGGTGCCCACTCGAGCAAATTGATGAACAGTGGGAGAACAGTGCAGTGCTACCATCTCTCTAGCCTCAAGACTGAACTTTTGTGTATGTTTGGGCCACACCTAGCAGTGCTCAGGAGCTGCTCCCAGTGCTTTGCTCAGAGTTGCTCTCAACGTTGCTTGAGGGATCAATGATGTACCTGGGGTGAAACCTAGACCTCCCACATGCACAGCATACAGCTGCCCTTTTTGCTCTTTCTCAGACCCAGAGATTCAAGAGTTCTTGTGGGTATGGGTGTGTCTTTTCCTAGGTGTATTTGAATATACAGCAAAGATTTGAGATTTTCTAATTTTTAATAGAAAGTCAGGGAGGTAACTGAAACAGCAATAAACTAGAGATACAGGAGTTATAGCACAGCGGGTAGGGTGTTTGCCTTGCATGAGGCTGACCTGGGTTTGATTCCCAGCATCCCATATGGTCCTCTGAGCCCCTGCAAGGAGTAATTCCTGAGTGCAGAGCCAGGAGTAACCCCTGTGCATTGCTGATTATGACCCAAAAGCAAAAAACAAAAACAAAACTAGAGATGCAAAAGTCTGACCTATGTGGATGGGAAGGAAAAAAATTCAAAGTTAAATCGTTCAGTAGAGTTGGAAAACATATCATACAAAATAATTTGGTTTACTGTGTATTTTGTTTCTTTAGTCTCTGAGTCCTGGAGTCTCCAGGGACAGCAGCACCAGCTACACTGAAACCAAAGATCTCTCTTCTGGTCAGGAGGTTGTAACTCCACCAGTGCCACAAGTGCAGGTCCATGAGCCAAAGGAGAGGACTTCCACTCCATCCTCTCTCCGAGGGAGGCGTCTGAGCCAGCCTGAACCAGAGGAAAAGCGTGTCCTTCAGAGGTTACAGCCTGAAAGGGTAGGCTATTATGCCCCCTCTTTGAGGGATACAGAGGATTAGATGTGTTTTCCCCTTTTGTCTTAGCTACAAAACTAAAAAGTCAGACTGAAATTGAACAGTTTGGTTACAAGGTAGAAAGGTTGGGGGTACTGGTGGGTCTGGGTTAAAAAAAAAGAAAGGTTGGGGACACCTTCCATTTCACTCACTTTCAGCTCCACTTCCTGAAAGTGCTATGAGGCCTGTAACAGGCTTCTCATCTCCTTAGCTCTCAGGGCCAGTTCTTCTCAGAACGTCTTTTCTCTGCCCAAAAGGATCTCTTCTCTTTCCTCTCACAATTCCTTTCCACTTTTTTTTTTTGGCATGGGGGAGAGAGTTTGAGCCACCCAGCAGTGCTCAGGGCTTACTTCTAGCTCTGTGGTCAGGGATCACTCCTAGAAGAACACCGAGAACCCTCAAGGGAGGCCAGGGATGAATCTGTGTCAGCAGTGTACATGGCAGTGCCCCACCTGCTGTTCTATCTCTCTGGCTCCTACCCCCCACACTTGGTAAAATCTTGAAATAACAAAGTCTAGGGTTGTTTTTGTTGCTGGGACTATGCATCCTGGTTTACCTTCCACCAGCTCAGCTTGACAAGGAATTGAGCATATTTAAGTACTTTGCTATGTTTGTTTTGCTGTTTGTCCTGACAGGGTAGCCCAAAGAAGTGTGAAGCGGAAGAGGCAGAGCCACCAGCTGCCACACAGCCCCAAACCTCAGAGATTCAGACCACTCACCTACCAGAATCAGAAAGGACTCACCATACTGTGTAAGTGATGGATCTCAACTGGGGGAAACAAGGACCTAGAAGTGGGGAATAGTTCTCTGCTCCCTTGGGATCTTTGACTAAGAATTCCTAATTCCCTTTTAAAACACGGCAAAGCTTTATTTGGACAAAGGCTGACTTCAGTTACTATGCTGGTAGTTGCCACCAGAACTCTTTTAAGGTAGTCTGGAAAATGATGGTGAGAACATAAGAAACCCATATTTGGCGGTCATCAGACCGAATTAGTCCATTTCTGTTAGGAGCAGGCCACAACAGTTTCTGTTTTTAAATTCAAGATGCTTTAAGGGAATTGACTTAAGAGCATCAGAACTCAATCTGATTATAATTCATAGTTCCCAACTGTATCTTTGCCTGGGAACATAGTTTAATAAAATATATTGTGGGTTTTAAAAGAAAAACGAAGAGAAGGTACTGTTTTCCAGTTTCTGTATTTTCCCTCATCATCAACTGTCATTTTATCAGCATAGTTTTAATTTAGCTTTTATAGCATTAGTATAGCAAAATATAGATTTTTATTCCTGGGCCAGAAGTTTTATTCCTGGGCTCATAGATTATTTGGGTTGATCTTTCCATTTAATTATTTAAATTTTTAGTCACCTTGGATTATAAAGTTATTCACTGTTGGGTTTCAGGCATACAATGTTTCAATACCATTCGCTTTATCAGTGTGCACTATTCACCAGTGTCCTCCGTTTCCCTGCCTCCGTGACTTTTTTTTTTTTAATCTGGTACTGTGGCTTACAGTACTATTTCTAAGAGGGTTTTTGCATAATACTTTACCACCTTTGAGTACCCCCCTCCTCCTCCAGGTATATTGACCATTTCCCTCCTCCATTCTTGTAGCATTTTCCCCCTGTCCTATTCCTCCCCCCCCACACCTCACCCCCACACATTTAATTAATGAGTTTATTTTATTTCCTATACTTAGTCTTAGAAAAATATTCTTTTCGGAAGTTAAATTTAACAAATATGTCATTCCTAGGTAGGTATTATAGATTAAGAACCCATTGAAGCAGATTTATTTTACCTTCAAATAAAAAGCATTTCTGGGGCTGGAAAGATGGTACAGGAAGGAGGTAAGGCACCTGCCTTATATTCAGTCAACCCAGCATCAATCCCTGGGTGATTCCTGAGCATAGACCAGGAATGATCCATAATCACTACCTGATGATATAGCCCCAGCTCCCTCTCTTAACCCCCCTCCCATCCCTCAAAGAGGTAAAGCATTGCTTCTAGACTTCAGAAATCATGTGCTACTTTGGTGGATGTCCTGTGTAAATATTTGTCCCATAATTGTTTCTATGCACTTTAACTTATGAGTTTAGTTCATTTTTAAGGCAATCTGGAAGTGGTTACTGGACAATTTTAGAATTTCAGTTACTTGCTGGAGCCATAGCACAGCGGGTAGGGTGTTTGCCTTGCACTCAGCCAACCCGGGTTCGATTCCTCCGCCCCTCTCAGCCCAGCAAGCTACCGAGAGTATCTTGCCCGCATGGCAAAGCCTGGCAAGCTACCCATGATGTATTCGATATGCCAAAAACAGTAACAACAAGTCTCGCAATTTTTTTGTGAGACGTTACTGGGCCTGCTCGAGCAAATTGATGAACAACAGGAGGACAATGCAATGTGCAATTGTTTCTATATCATTTAACACTAACATTATTAATATGATCTGCCCTTTATGTAAAAATCTAATAATTGGAACATTTTTTAGAGTTTGAATAACTTTTTAAAAAATTATTTTTGGTGGGTGGGTGCACAGATCACATTATTTTCTTACAACTTTGTAATAGTTTGTATACCTTAATATATAGGCTTTTCCTTGGGGGCATATATACATGTGTTTATGTGTGTGTGTGTGTGTGTGTGTGTGTGTGTGTGTACATGTACAGATGTAAACGTCTGCCCTTAAAATACTATTGCCTCTGCTGCCATCTTGTGGCCAAAGTACTTTTGAAAACCAAAAGTTTACCTTTTTTCATTCAAAACTTTTTGTTTTACCTTTTTGGGATGAATACATTATCCTTTGGAAAAGGATTTTTCTTCTAGGACTATAAGATGAAAACTCAACGGATTCTGGAAGGTGTTCAGGATTTCCCAGCTACAACATCGATGAGGAAATGGGGTGACACCTTCTTTTCATGTCCATCAACCAGAAATAATACCTACTTTCTTCTCCCCCATCCCATGGAGGGTGCGGCGTGTTTTTTGTATAATGGGAGTTTTGAAGTTGGTGTTGGTCCTTACTACCAGTTGGGCCTGAGGAACTGCCTTCTGTGTACATTAAGAAACATGCAGTGGCCAGAGAGATAGTACAGTGGGTAGGGCATTTGCCTCGCACATGGCCAACCTAGGTTCAATCTCTGGCACCCCATGTCGTCCCCTGAGCACTGCCAGGATTGTCCTTGTACGCAGCACCAGGAATAAACTTGGAGTATACTAGATGTGACCCTGAAACAGAACCAGACAAAAAAAACGCAAGTAATTTTCTTAAAATCCTTGCTTGTCCTAAAATTTTGTGGGTTTGTGAGATCCTGGCAATGGAACAGCATTTTAAGCTACTTAAAAGTGCCTATATATGTTACTTGACTTCCACATGCAGGTCGTAAGCATGGAGTCTTTAATAGTTTTTCTTACTAGTAAAGATGGCTTTATTCTGGGGCCGGAGTGATAGTATAACGAGTTAGCGCATTTGCCTTTTCCTTGCACATGGCAACCCGGGTTCAGTCTCCAGCATCCCATACGGTCCCCTGAACACCATCAGGAGTAATTCCTAAGTGCAAAGCTAGAGTAAGCCCTGAGCATCACCAAGTGTAGCCCCAAAACAAACAAAAAGATGGCTATTCAGTTTATAAGGCATTTGCCTGGCATGTAGCCAGTCCCAGTTTGGTCCCTGGCATTACATGGTCCCCAGCACTGTCAGGAGTGACCCCTAAACACAGAACCAGGAATAGTTACTGAACACTGCTGGGTGTGGCCCAAATCCCACAAAATTTTTGTTGTTTGGGCTAGAGCAATACTACAGAGGGTAGGGCATTTGCCTTGTATGCAGCTTACCTGGGTTTGATCCCTGGCATCCCATATGGTTCCCTGAGCACCACCAGGAGTAGTTCCTGAGTGCAGAGTCAGGAGTAACACCTGAGCATCACTGGGTATGACCCAAAATAAAAATAAAAATTGTTTTATATATGAGGTGTTAACCTAGTGAACATTGGTTCTAGCAAGGTTTTAGGCATGAGGCCCCTTGGACAGACCAAACTGTTCATTGTTGCTCAGGCAAATTGTGGTGGAGCAGCCTATAGTAGAAGTGAGCTCAGGATAGATTTCATACCCATTACTTACTTTCCTTCTACCTGTCTTCTGGATGGTCCAGTCAGCAATCAGCATCCTAAGACATGCCCAAGCACATTAGCTCTCAAAGGGTGACTCTTGAGACATTTGCCTCCTTTTTGCAGGCCTTCCTGCATACTGATTGGTAACATTTCTCCTGGTCTTTTACACCTCTAAAACGCTATTCTTCAGCCTGGTTAGGCCCAGAAGGCTAGGCCATTTTTTTAGAAATAGCTTTGGGGGCCAGGGAGATAATTCAAATATGGTCTCCCGAGCATTGTTGGGAACAACCCATGAGTAAGGGGCCAAAGGTAGTGTCTGCAGTGGTCTCTTCTACTTGGTGTGACCCTAAAACCAAAACCAAACCAAAAAAACCCACAAAAGAAGTAGGATCAACAGTTCTAAATGGAAAGAAACATTTCTGGCTTAAATTTGGTTTTTCTTGTCTGTTTCAAGAAATTGCATGACTTTAACAGAATGAGGGACTATTGATTTGGTCAAGTATTTAAAAAAAAATAAAATTCAAGGACCCCTCATCACTTTGGAAGAGAATTCCTGGATTTTTTGCTGTACTTGGTTAAATGCATTCTGATTCTGATTGTGCTCTGAGGAACTCTTGATTGATGAGGTAAGGTATCTAATTTGAGCCGAATTTGTGAGCCCTCAATTATATTTCTTTTGATTGCAGTCCTGTGTCTGCTATGACTATAACAAAATTGCCCTTATTACATCACAGAACAATATTACTCTTACTGTAAAACTAGAAAAAGGAGATGGTAGCAGGTAAGGTTCTTGCCTTGAATACAGCCAACCTAGGTTTCATCTCTGCCACCCTATATGGTCCCCTGAGCACCAGCCAACAGTGATTTCCTGAGCATAGAACCAGAAATAAGCCTTGGAGCATTACTGGGTATGGCTCCAAAACCAAGTTTCTGTGTATGTGTGTATAACTTTGTGTGAGTAGCTGTATCATACCCCAGTAATTAGTTCAATTTAATTCAGATTTCCTTTTTTCTAAATACTACTTTCTGTGTACATAAAACTTGGAGACAATAGCAACTTTGGGGTCTTTGCACTATGCTTATTTCATCATTTTCATAAGGATAGGAGTAAGAGAAAGCAAATAGTCTTTCAAACCAATACGACAGTGGCATATTTCCCAGGGAGCTTACAATGCCTATATGCCATGATGCGTAATTTTAAAAAGAATTTGTCTTCAGTTAGAGTTTGTTCACTGAGAAAGTTGTATCTGAGGACATCATCCCCGTCCCCCCCAATCCTGCTATCCTTGATTCTTGTGAAACAAGTGTTTTCATGAGAGTTTTTTCAATTCTGCCTGACGGTGGTTAAGATCCACCATTACCAAGTTTCACTTGAAATCTCACTCCTCATGAATTTTCTGCAATAACTGAAATTGAAAGACATGCCTGTAGAAAATTCCTTTAACATTTCTTTCTCATTCTTACTCAGGTATGAATCGTAATATGATTATTAGCCTCCAAGTAGTCCTATCCTTTTGTACTATAAATGCTTTGTTTGCTGTTTAATTATGGATATTTCCAACCCCATATTTTTACATATTTTAAAATATATCAGAAACAGTAGTGCAAGGAATGTAAGTAGGCCCAGGTATGCTTTTTGTTTGTAAGGGC